TTTTTTTTTTTTTTTTTTTCTTTTTTCTGCTTGGCAGGCGAAGGGCTTTTTAAATTGGTCGTGGAGATCCTCAATTAGAAGTGTGACGAAGCTGGCAAAAGAGGACACAGAGGAAAACTCCCCGCCTCGTCCAAAGGAGGCTCCCGCCCCCGCCCTCCGCCGGGTGAAAAGAGCTCGCCCACCTCCCGCGAGCGAGAAGGGCGCCTTCTTCCCTCTGAGCACCGCCGGCGCTGGCTGCAGTCAGAGCGGCTTTGTAGTTCCCGGTATTTGCCGGGCGGAGGGAGTCTGGAGGCTGAGCGTTCACAGCGGTCTACGGGGAGGTTTTTCCCAGATCCCGGTGGGGTCTCTACATCCCCACCCCCAACACACCCAGTGGCTTCCCTGTCGGTCTCTTTATCGCTTTCTCAAAGCACATCTGTCCGATGTGCGTTTCTGCGGCAACCAGCAGCCTCTGCTACACGCGCCAACTGCCCAACGCGCTGCCACAGGCGGTAATAAACAAGCTCTCCTTCTCCGCCAGGTGCCCCCGCATCCGTCCCGGTGCCCCACAGGCTGGTCCCCCTCTGCGTCCGGCAGAGCAAAAGGGGAGCGTCGCGGGCACCGGCATCTGGTGATTCTCAGGCCTGGGGCGGAAAGGACGGACGCCCCAGAGAGCGGGACTTCGAGACTCGCCGCCGGGCGCTTCTGAGTTCCCAGCACCAGGGGGCACCAGAAACCGCCAGAGTTCCGAAGCGCCCACGCGGCCGGGCAGCTGCCTTGCTACTTTAGAACCGCTGCACGAACGCTCCCCACCACCCTCCAATCCTCTCCGAACCCAAATTACCCCCCGGAACTTTTGGATGTCCTCACCGGGCATCCCCGCTGTTCATCCTCTCCTACCACTCTTCATCCTTTCTCCCGGATTTTTCTCTCCCGCCCCATTTAAGCTGGTTTCTCGGCAACCTGAACTCCCCCTCCCTCCCCCGCGTCTCGGTGACAGCCTCACCGCGGGTGCGCGCTCCCGCCGCTAGTGCCCCCGCACTTTCCCGTGTCTGGCAGGCTGGGAGGTTTGCCCTCGAGATCCAGGTCTCAGGAGGAGAAAAAGAGAGGCGGGGGGTGGGTGGGTGGGGAAGCGCGCTGTAACTTGGAGGCTTTCTTTTGGAATACGGACAGAAGTTGCTGAAAGATGTATTGCTTTTGTCAGCTGTGCCTTGTGTCCTGAATGGACGGTAGACTTATTCAGTTGGGCCCAAGACCAAGGTAGGGAAAAGAATGAGCGACTCTTTCTGCATACAGTCTGGGAATGGGTCAAGGGCCCGAGGCCGTGTGTCAGATCCAGAGTGCACCCGAACCCCTTTCGAGAATAGGCTGGGGACGCTGCGGGCTCCTCGGACACCTGACACTTGTTGAAAAGGCGCTACTGTCCCTGAACCCTGCCAAAGCGAAGATATGGCGAAACTCAGTGCAAGACCGGGTCGCTGCGGGGCGGAAGCCCAGAAGCTCGCATTGGAGCTTTGCGGGTGGAGGTGCGTGAGTGAGGTTAGAAGCAGCATCTCTTCCTTGGGATACTTAAGTGAACATCGAAAATACTGTGCAAGAGTCGAGTGCGCTCTAACATATCCGCGGCAGCGCCCAGGAGACTTCTGTTCGCCCCCACCAAAGAGCAAAAATCTTGCGAGCACGGGGTTGGGCCGCTCCCCCGGAGCGCGCGCATCGGCTCTGCAGACCGGTTTGCCACCGCCGAAACCAGGGAGGCGCCAGAAGGCTGGGGAGGTCCGCGGAAAGTTATTTCCCGCCCCGAGAGGGGCTGGAAACCAAAAGGCGGCGAAATCAGCCCTGAGGTTGTGCAAGGTAGTGGTGGAGAGTGTTGATTGGGGATGTGGCACAGTGCAGGAGAAAAGCGGTCATTCAAATAATCACTTAGATGGCATAGGGGAGACCTTGAGGTTCGAGAGTCGGTTGGAGACGGAGACCCGGGTCCTGGGCTATGCCGGAAGCCCCTCTCTTAACCTCGACGCGGATGGTTAGTTGGAGTTGCGGGCTCATGCAAGTAACCGGGTTCAGTAAAGGGCGAGGAATGTAGATTTGCAAGACGGCTCCAGAGGAGGTGAGCGCTCTGTTTTTAGGTCCTCGGTACCTTTAGCAGCAGCCCCTCCCGGGGCCTACACTTTCCCTCAGAACAGACCAAAACAAGTTACACCCCAGTAATGATATCTATGCAGCAGCGCCTCCACAGAGGACCCAACTTTGGCAGTGGTGGGTTCAAAGACGACCCCAGCCCGGCACCTTCCCGGGACTTGACGGAAGAGCGCCCCTCCGAGTCGGGGAGGGAAACTCCCTGTCGAATATTCCGGGGTCCAGAGGCATCAGGGACCCCAGAGATCTTTGCCCACGTGGAAAGGCAAACTGCCCCTCCGCAAGGCCAGCCTGTCTCCAGTTCAACTTCTCTTTCTCCTCTGTCCTTCCAGCGTCTCGGTTCTCTCTTAGTCTCTTCTCTTCCTAGTCTCACTGCCCGTTCTGAGGTCCAGCCGCGCCCCCCTCTGTCTCCAGCGCCCCGCCGCGCCCGCCTCCCCTCAGGCCCTCTCCCCCACTCACCTCGGATCCGGTCTCCGCAGACCCCCAGCTGGACATTAACTCCAGGAGCCCCGAGTCCCAGCCAGGAGACCCATCCGGGCCGAGGGCAGGAGCGCGGAGCCCCGCCCAGCAGGTTAGGGGCACGAGTTCGCAATCCTGGGGCCGTTCCCGGCAGGGAGGGCACGCAGGAGGCGGCGGCCAAGGCTCCAGCCGCTGCCGCCACCGCCGTGAGAAGGGCGAGGGATGCCGACAGCTCCCCCGCCGGCTCCCCGCACCCCCAGAAGGCGAGGTCCGAGCAGCCGCCGCTGCCTTGGTTGAGGGGTGACAGGGCTGAGCGCGCCGCGCAGCCGGAGCTGAGCCTGGAAATCCGAACGAGACACCACGTCAACCGGCGCCGAGAGTCCCGCGAAGACATGAGGGCGCCAGGAGCGCAGGCTGGTCCTGGAGAGCCCGGGCCGGGGGCCGGGGTGGGGGAGGGGAGGCGCGGGGCCCCGGGAGGGGAGGGGTCGAGCGGCGGCGGCGACGGGGAGGGAAAGGAGAACAGCGAGGAGGCGCCCGAGCTCCCGAACCAGGGGGCTCCGGGTGCGAGTGGGTGACGCGAGGCGCCCCTCCCCGGGGTGCAGGGAGAGAGCGCTCAGCGCGTGGAGACGCGGCCGGGCTCGCGCTTCCTCCTCGCCGGGAAGATCCGGAGGAATGTGCGGAGCTCTGCGCGGACCAACCGAAGGGGGCAATCCGAACTTGACCGCGGCGCCCGCGCCCGGCTTCGCCCTCGCGCCTAGCTGTCTGAGCCGGGGCTCTGTCGAGTGGAGGGCTGCAATGGGCTCTCCTCGCGCCTGTCGAAGGCTTTCCTTCCACCTCGATGTCTAGCTCTCTGGCTTTTCTGCAGGGCAGAAGGCAGTAGCGAGGAGGGCTGCTGCTGGCCGGAGTTCTCCAGCACTACGAAGGAGAGATGTGCAGCGGCCCAGGGAGGGAAGCCGAGTGTTTGCCAGGGGACGCTGAGACCGGGGCAGAATTTATAGGGCTCTCACCCCGTGACGTGCCCTCCAGTGGCTTTTCTGATTCGCTTTCTGACCTAAACACACATTAGTTTAGTCCCCATGCTAGGGCCAACACGGTCTCCACATATCTGCTGGCTGAAGTCAGAGGCTTTGCATATCATGTATTACACGCCAGGCAATGAAGAAGGCTTCTGAGGCTGGCCGCTCCTCGGTCCTAGGCTCCATTTTCATGCTGTTGTAATATAATACCAGACGTGGGGTAGACACATACATTCAGAATCCCAATTCCAGAGACCTAAAGATCACTTGATTGGGAACAGGTCGGGGAAGGTTGG